ATTATCAAATCTGTCCGACATTAGCGCCACATACTAACTGGCAAACACATCAAACTTTTAACTGATCAACGATCTGTATTATTTATGTTTAACAAAAATAAGAAAAGTAAAAAAGAACGACAAAATTTGATTACAGCTTTAATATCGTTTACTGGAAAGGAATAGACAATATTGCACCCGATACTTTTAGTATGTACTCTGAAGCCATGAGCTTGTCTACTCTTTCTTCATTATATAATTCTTTGTGTCATACTGGAGTCATAGATACGAATTCTTTGTGTCATAATTCTTTGTGTCATACATACGATCGCTCTCGATTGCTGAATTAAGCGATGTTTTTTATCTAAAGTAACATCTTACGATTGTTTAAAAAGGAAACAAATATTCTTTATTAAACAAAGTTTGCAAGTTTTAGTTTTATTTAAGCTAAATTATTTTATAAATAAAAAAGCTAATTTTTATTAATACCTATTTTATGTTTCGCGTAGTTTGAAAAGTTTAACATATTTGAAGCAATTATTCTTAGTAAGATAAACAATTGAAATAATTAAATCATTGAATTACTATAGACATTAAATTAACAAGATAGAAATCAACTAAAAAGGTTAAAAATATGACGAGGAAGCAAAACTGCTTCACAGTATCGCTGATGAAGTTTAGTGAGTGGGCTTTTTAATTAGTAATTTAATTAGTAATTAAAGCAGAAAAAAGTGTAACGAGTTTTTAAGAATGGCAAATGAAGCGAAAATAATTAGAGTTAGTAAACCAATATCTAGAAACTTTTTTTTATATCTAATTATTTGCTATATATATTTGTGTTCTGTCGTGACCTCAGGCGCGGTGCTTGTTCATCCGCGAGTTACTTTGTATGGGTTGTTTGTGTTTAGTAACCAGAAACTTCTTATATGTGTTACATGATTAGTTTTATTAACTTTAACGATTATAACTTTATTGAAAACGCAATTATTTTTGTAAGTCTTTGTTTAAATCATAAAAATTGCTTTAAAAGATACATTACGATAAAAAACAGATCAACAAAATTACATTTACATAAAGAATACATACTTTTTAAATAAAAAATAAGAATGTACAAATAAAATCTATAATTTATAATAAACTTTTAAAATTTTGACAATTTAATTAATATATATTTAAAACATTTATTTTTGTAAACAATTTATATATATTCTTAAAACAATTTATGCTAGAAATCTGAAAACGTAACAAAACGTGAATAAAATAATTTCTAAAACATTTCAACAAAATGCTCCAAAATTTTATTTCGCTTAGTCAGCGTATTTTTTGAACCAATAGAATTAGTTTGTTCGTTAATTTGGTGGATTTTTAGTGTTCGCAAATATTCTTTTTATTCTTTCGCACCAAGATGTTTTGAGAACATTTAAGTTTTTTATGTTTCCATGTATGTCCGTAAAACAAAAATTTTTTGTTTCGTAAATAAACTTAAATGTTCTCAAAACAACTAAAAAACCTGGCCAGTTTTTCGCAACTAAATATAATTTCCGTAGTCAGTATTCGAGAGCGATCGCTCCCGCTTCTCGACCAAGCCTGATATATATATATGTTCACTATCATTGATGAATTTTTGCGATTCCTGTTTGTATTCCCTTGTGCTAACATAATTTTACTACAGTCACTGATTGTTTTTCTCAGCTCTTTGCAATTTTCGGTATGCCTGCTTACATTCATTCTGACAGGATTGTCTTTTATGAGTGAGGATGTCCAAGATTTCCTTCATAAAAAGGATATAGTAAGGGTAACGGTCAAGCAGAACGGTACAATTGTATTATCATGAAAACAATCAAACTAGCCTTAAAATCACGAAACCTTGATATTAAATATTGGGAAGTTGTCTTGCCTGATGCACTTCATTCCATCCCGTCTTTAATCAACATTACTACTAATGAAACTCCTCATGAGAGACTCTTTACATATCAAAGATGCTCTGCTACGGGATACTCAATCCCATCATGGCTCGCGTAACCTGGAAAGGTTTTGTTAAAGAGACAGAGTTAGAAATTCAAAGTATAAATCTGATGTAGATGAGGTATTTTTGATAGACGTGCTTATTAAGCCCGTGGTCGTGAATTTACAGTTTCTATTTGCCATCTTGCACCACTAACTCAAGAATTGCCTGTAGACACATTAAGAACATCAAATCTAATTGCACCAGAGCAATCTACTGCACATCATGTACAGGAACAAGATAAGACTATGTCAATTGATCTCCCAGATTATCCATGTCCCACGTCCAATAAAAATGAGAAATGTTACTTAGACAATCTACACAAAAGCACACTACTACAAATCGATTGGACCTTTAAACAATCAACTACTTGATATTTTAAAGATGTCAGGGTTATTGTAATAATATTGAACATTATTATTTCTTTTTGTCGTTGTTTTATTAATATTTCTTATTGTTTAGTTGATAAAAAGATAAAAAAAGTATATTATTGTTTCTTTGCGTACCCTTCACTTACAACAATACAGAATGGTAGTAATGGATAGGCTGGATCACCTATAAGATAATTAGGTATCTTCACTCCTTTTTTTGTTGGTTTTTGAAAAATTTGAGGAAGAATAGCATTTCTAAACTTTATATTTATTGTTGAATTTACAAACACTTTAGCATCATGTACACTACCTTGCCACATGCACTTGACATCCATAAAATAGTCTAATCACATACAGCTTGAACACTAAGAGAAAAATATTGCTTATAGCAAAAGAAGTCTTGTCTTATAGCAAAAAAGTCTTGTGAGACGAATAGGAGTATGGGTGCCATCGATGCATCCTAAGGCTTGTGTCATTCCAAATTTACTTTCAAACTCTGAAACTTTATTTCGCATTTCAGTTTAATTTCTTGCAAGAAATAGAAACTTAGGTCCAAGATACTTGGATATTGCCTTACAAACTAAAATTATAACGGCAGAAGCAGTGCATACTGCAATTCCAAAAGCATTTGCAGTCATTCCCAAAGATCCAGTATCTTTCAAGTAATATAAAGTAATAGCTACTTTTTTATCTGCTGATAATATGAGCTGATAATGCTGCTGATAATGATAATATGAGCTGATAATGCTGCTGATAATGATAATATGAGCTGATAATGCTGCTGATAATGCTGATATGAGCTCTACAGTTAGGTGAAAAAGGGTCAGGAGATAAATAAAAGCTAAACTCTAAAATCATGAGAAGAAAACGCGAAAGCCTAAAATTTGTTTTCCATACATCACTGTATTTTCCATACAGCCTAAAATTTGTTTTCCATACTACACCAGTTATTATATTATGCCACCATAAATCAGTTCTGCCAGTTTTAAACCAGCAACTACGATTTTTTCTTTTAAGGCGCCTCTCTTGTACTTGTTTCATCTTTTGAAGTGATCGTGATTGTTCACATAGAAGAAGAATGTTGAAAAAATTATCAAGTTTTAATTTGTAAAGTTTATATAATAATATTAGGCTTTTAAGCAGCATTATTTGTGTTATAACACCAGTTAAACATATTGTTAAAATGCAATATGTTTTTTTGTCAATAGTCGCCATCTTTAAAATTATTATTTTACTGATAAAGAGGCCAGCCCTTCTTGAAAAAGCCAAACTGACCTCAATATCATTTTAAATTTTTTTGGCACAAAAGATGACAAAATTCATATAAATGTGATTTTAAAACTGGCTCATTTTCCGGGCTAGCTTGGCAAATGGGCTAGCCCTTGTCCATATAAACAGGCCCTTAAAAGAACAGAGCAATTATAAATTAGTAGAAAATCAATTATTGCTATCACTTCTAATCAGCAGCAATAACTAATAACAAATTACTGATTAAATTCACCCACCAAAAATTAATGGAAAAATCTACTCTAAAATTTAAATTAATAATTGTAGAATTTTTTTTTTTCTTACTTAAAGAATATAATGGTAGCTAAACATTTGCAGGACTATTAATCACTAAATAATAATTTTAACTATCCTAACATATTTTGGAATGATGATTAATTAATGCTTTAAAGACCAAACCAACAGAAGCACTCAATAATTTATTAATTTATCAATATGTACATTTACTATATATATTTAAAAAGATAATTACATTAACACTAGTGATCTACTGAAATACAAAAAAAGCTGAAACCAAAAAAAAATTTTGGGTCCTCTAGTTTGCTATTATTTCAAATGTTTTACTGAAACTGATACTGACATTTTGGCTAGTCAAAATTAATTTCATTAGAAAATTTTATTTAAAAATACAATTTTACGTTTGTTGTTTTTCATATATATATATATTATGTTAGAATTGATTATATATGTTTCACAAATTAAGATTTAATAAGTTGGCAATATAAGATAATATTTAATAACGAAAATTAACAACTGGCAGATTTTTTTTGCAAACAAGATTTTTTTGAGATATTTTTTGAAAATTCTTAAAAATAACTATTTTTCTAAATTAGATAAAAATTTAAAATCTTATAAATTTTTATCTAATTTAGAAAAATAGATAAGAGTTTTTTAAAAAGTACCGAAACTGAAATTTTGGTATCAGTTCAAATTGAAGTTTCAGCCGAAACCGATACCGAAACAGAGTTTTGGTTTTAACACATTAAATCTCATTAAAACAAAGTAAAATAACAAGGTCAAAATGCTATATGTCAAAATGTTATATATGCAAAATGTTAAAGGTCAAAATGTCATAACAACAAACAAGATGAAAAATAGCAAATTAGATATTTTTTTCAAATCTCAAAAATCTCAAATTTTATAGAAATAAAAAGATTATAAACTATTTGAAAATTTAAGCGCAAATAAAGTTTTTTATATTTCAAGGTAGCATGTAAAAAATCATTGTGCAAAACAATGTTATGGTTTGTTAAGCAAGTTGAAAAATTTATATAAAAATAATATCTTAGTTTTTAAAATATATTACATGTTTTTTTTATAATATAGACAATAGTAAGTGTATTAAATTTTTTTTTCAGTTTTATATGGGCTCTTTGCAATTTGAATAAAGAGAACTTATCGGCTGCTACAGGAACATGGTATTTTGTTACTATTGATATTGAATCTAATGTTGAATGGCATAGTATATCTAGAAATCCACAAAAACATTTTCAGCATAAACTTGTAAAAAGTACTGATGTGAAAACGCTTCTCAAGATTTCAGGTTTTTTTTTATTTATTAAAAATAAAAATATTTTTAGCATAATAGCACATTTTGCTCTATATCTAATTTTGTAATTTTGTATATATTTCTTTACGTTCATTTAATTTTTTTTTTAATTCTTTAAAAGTCTGATTTTTTGTCTGATTATTACTATGAAAGTCTGATTATTACTATGTCTGTGTCTGTGTCTGTCTATGTCTATGTATCTGTCTATGTCTATGTCTGTCTGTGAAAATATTACTAATATTATTAAATTATTACTATAAAAGTCTGGTTATTACTATGAAATATCGCTTTTTATTGCTCAACAAAATAATTTTATTTTCGAAATTGTATCACTGTAGAATGGTTGTTAAATTTAATGTAGAATTTAATGTGAAAATTTTTTGTACCTTTTTAACCTGTTAACAGTCCATGCCGTTATATTACGCAAACTTAAAGTGGTTTCTAATTGTCCATGCTGTAGTATTACAGTTTTGTGCATCTCCTTATATTTTCTTCTTGTTCATCAGTAATATGTCTACTTGTCATAAAAGTTATTACTACATAATTACAAAGCTTTTGTTTCAATAATTGTCTTTTAAATGTGTTTAATTTAATATGACAAATAAGGAAGTTTTTTTAGTGCAAAAATAATTATCAAAAAGTAAATATCAACTCACGAAAGATAGAATTTTATACATTTGATGAATCAATTATGAAAAGATATATTTAATGAATGATTATTGAAAATGATAATAAAAAATTAATGCTCAAAGGTGGTGTGCAGTATGTTACGTGTTATGTATGTATGTTAAGGTGGTGTGCAGTATGTTACAAACACAATATTCAAAAAGGTTCAGGATATGAATGTGTAGAATGTGATGTAGGACTTTTTGCAGCTCCATGCTTTTCACAATTATCATACAAAAAGTGAATATTAGTGAATACATTTTTAAAATTTTATATTTATGTAGTATGTATGTTTTATAGTATGATTTATATATTTTTAAACTTGAATAATAATATTCTGTAGTGTTTAATAATGTTGAAAATAGTAAAAAACATTTTTTATTCTATTAGTAAAAAAACACAATGATTTTCAAAATACGGGGCATATAGAGACCACTTCAAAAAATAAAGCTGGAATAATAGCAACTGTTAAAGGGTTAAAAAGTTTTTTATCTTGTCAACCTCTAAAGTATTTTTTTAAATACAACTTCTCCTAAGGCAGAGGAATCACACATAGCAAGAAAATTAGTTTTTTTTTCAAGGTTATTTCAACCCATTAATTCATAGGTACAAGGCTATTTCATTGAGAAACAAGTTAATCACACGGCTGACCAGGGTTAGTTACCAGAGTTAGTTGCCGAGGTTAGTTACCAGGCAAATGGTACTAGAGTAAAATTTAATAAAATTTAAGCTGCAGGAAGGTAATACCAATTCATATAATTTATTATAATTCTGTGAAATAATTAAAACAAACTATTGAGTGTGCCATTAAAATTTGCTTCTATTGGCTTGCTTTGTCCTTTGAAGCTTATTTAATAGTCATCATTCTAAAACTTTGCATTTTTAGCATGGTTGCAATTCTCCATGGCTACCACTATTTACGTTATGGTTTATTAGGAAAACAGAGATAAAACATTTAAAGCGGAAAAATTGTTAATATGTTAAAAATGATGGATAAAAAAACTAGATGTCCAAAAGTTTTTGATTGGATTAACGTTAACAAAAATTTCAGGCTGCTTTAACCTAATAGATGTTTTGAAGAATTATTTATTGTTGAACTTTTTTAATTTTTGACATAAATTTGGTTTTATATAGATAACCCCCAGCAGCAGGCTATTTCAGTATGCCATCAAATTGCTTACCTTAGTACGCAATACTATTTGTATATATACACACACACACACACACACACACACACACACACACACACACACCAGTGCCACAACAGTAATTTTTAATCATTACTTTGTTTGTGTTGGAGTGGAGTTGATTTAAAATAGCGTGTCGTTGTAAAAGGTATTTCTTTGGATGCATGAATTTACTAACATAAATATAGCATGAAATGTAGTAATAGTCATATGGTTTTATCTTCAATATTTTTCATTTAGTTCATAGAACACTTTCTTGAAAGTGCCTATGAACTATGCAAAACAACATCATACACACACATATATATTCATACATATCTGTTATTAAAAATGTTGTTAAAACAAAATTTATAACCAGCTCTGCGATTTAATATCAACAATCTGTTTTGAAGGTGCACCTGGAAAATAGATTGTTGATATTAAAATTGGATACAATATAAATTGGATTTAAGACATTTATCAAGATAAATTTAAAAAACACATTTATAAGAATAAGTTTATAAAATACATTTTTTTAACAATAAATTTAAAAAACATCTTTATAAACATAAATCCAGTTTCTTTACTTTTATTATCTCTTCAGTCCCTTTTGCTCTCTGGCCTCTGCCTTTATATTTAGATTATAAATAATCTAAACTTTTATCTCTTAGATAATGATATTTCATTGCTGTTTGCAGAATATGATAAATCTTGTTCACAGCAAAGCATTACTTGTCTCATAAGCAAATCTTCAGTTGTTGTTATTACAATATCAAATCAAAAAGAGCCATTGGTAGAGTCAACTTACAGTATATGCAATTCAAAGTTTGTGGAATGGCAGTGTTCTGAGAATATTATTTATTTATTACAGGAAGATTATTTTGTGCGTATCCTTTTCACAAATAGTTTTTAAATCTTTTTGTTTTATTTAGAGACTTGTTTAGACTGAACAATAATTTATATAACACTATTTCATTTTTTTTTTTCCATAGCAAAAGTAATACAATATGTATTTTTTTTTCTTTTTTTTGTTATTCACCTCCTCAAGGCCGAGAAGGCCACTACAGACGAGGAGGCTACTTAATAGTGGTTATAACCCTCTCAACTCTATAACTCCGAAACATGAACAAGGCCGCTACGCGGAGAAACAAGTTGAGCGCGGTAATACCAGGGACGTGGTGGGGATCAAACTCGGAACCTCTCGCTTTTGAAGCGAGTGTTTTACCACTACACCACTACCGCATTATGATATGTAACAAATATATAATATGTAACAATATATATGTAACAAAATAACTTATTTAGTTATGGGCATTTTTTAATCATAACTCCTGTAAATATATATTCATATAACTTTTGACAAGCTCAAAACAGTACTGTTGGAAAATTTTATTAATTATAGTGTAAGAGTAGGTACAAGATACCTAAATCTTGTAGGTACCTTGTAGGTACAAAATGTAGGTGTAACATGTGGGAGTTGATTTAGGAGTTGGTGCAAAGTGTAGGAGTAGATGGAAGATTAAAAACATGTCAATGAAAAATAATCATAATATTTAGAAAAATATGAAAAACTTTTCAATTAAGTAATGTTGTTATCTCTTGTAATATCATATGCTTTTCAATTAAGAAACTTCTTAATAAAAATTGATTATTTGTCATTACTTTACAATCATCTTTCCATCAAGTTTTATTAAGTTGTTAACACAACAGAATTTAAATCTACTTTATTAAAGCGAGCAATTATTTAATTTAAAATCTAGTATTGTTTTGTTATTGTTTTGTTTACTTTACGAACTTGCAACTTAAAATTTTGTCTTTAAGAAACCATTAATTATCATGCATGATATACAATTAATCTTTAGAAATAATTTGTTGTTCAAAATACTATAAATAAAAAAATAGAAAAAAAAGAATAGAGTTATAGAGCAAGGAAACAGTTGACAGAAGACTTGAAAAGTTGTAGATTGAATGAGTCAGGAAAACATGAAGATGGGAAAGAGTTCCAAAGGCTGAAGTGCAGGGAAAAAAGTTAGGTGAATAAAAGTTTTTAGAGCATTCAAGGACAAATGCAGTAAATTAATGAGCTGAATGACAAGTGAAGCAGTAATGAGTTTTAGTTGATGGAACTAGAGATAAAAGCTCCTTTGAGTAGAAGTCATGGTAAAAATTTGTAGAAAAGAGAAACAGATGCAACTTTACGACAATGGAAAAGAGGCTCATGCTTAGCAAATAGAGCGGATCCAACAACGTTTACAATGCATTTTCAGACCTTGTCTTGAAGGGAAAGAGCATCATTAAAAGTAAAAGCCTAAATATGACAACAGTATTTCATTCAGGGATGAAAAGAAATTTTTAGAGGTGGAGAATGGAATTAGTGGTAAGAAAAAAAAAAAGAACCACCTAAGGAAGAAAAAGAAAAAAACTGAACACAAGCTAGGGTCAGTAGCAAGATAAATTAATGAGAGAAGGTAAATGATTAGGGTTATCAGTAAAATGAGTCACAAAGTTATTTTTCTGAGTAAGAGATTGAGAAATGCAGCAGTTATAGGCTTTAGTGCCAGCATGTTCAGTGGTATTAGAGCCAAGCCATTCAGTGTGATGAGCATTTAAGTCACCAATTACAACAAATTTAGTAAAGAGAGTTACATGGTCAATTTGATCAGATACAAGGTCAATTTGATCAGAAATTACATCTAAAAGAGTGCAGTCTTGAGAAGAAGGAGACCGATAAAGAACAAAGAGATGAAGAAGATGAGAAGAGGTGCTAAGCGGAAGCACATAAAATAATGGTCAAAGGATTCAAACCTGAGTTCACAATAAATAGGTGAATTTATGCGTATGTTTACCCCCAACCCAAGCATGTGATTATTGGTGTCTTTGCAAGTTAAAGGATTGTAACAATCAACACTGATATCTGAAGAAGGAGTAGCGGAATTTAAATCAGTATTATTAAAAGGAAGCAAGTCTGGTGAATTTTGCAAGAGCTAAGATTCAACTGATGGAAGGTTGTTTCGCAGACCACAAATACTTGTAAAAAATATATTAAAACAGTTAGGTGGTGCAGATGGTTTTTAATGTTTTTAAATAATAAAAAATCATCTGCACCACCTAACTGTTTAAATATATTTTTTACAAGTATTTGTGTTCTGCGAAGCAACTTTCCATTAGTTGGATCTTACCTCTTGCAAAATTCAAGAATTTATTATAATTTAAAAAAATTGATATAAATAATAATTAAGAAAAAGTATATGTTGTTTGCAGATTTATAGTTTTGTGTTAATTACAATAATGCTCATTATATTATAAAATACTGTAGGATATTGTATGGGTCATTACATGTCAAATCAGTAGGAAAACCTAAAAAATGGCATCCTGTTTTTTAAATTTTTAAAATTTTTTTACATGTTATAAAAACTATGAAAATCTGAATGTTGGGACCTCCATCTCCTTATGAATGTTGGGACCTCCATCTCCTTATGAATGTTGGGACCTCCATCTCCTTATGAATGTTGGGACCTCCATCTCCTTATGAATGTTGGGACCTCCATCTCCTTATGAATGTTGGGACCTCCATCTCCTTATGAATGTTGGGACCTCCATCTCCTTATGAATGTTGGGACCTCCATCTCCTTATGAATGTTGGGACCTCCATCTCCTTATGAATGTTGGGACCTCCATCTCCTTATGAATGTTGGGATCTCCATCTCCTTATGAATGTTGGGACCTCCATCTCCTTATGAATGTTGGGACCTCCATCTCCTTATGAATGTTGGGATCTCAATCTCCTTATGAATGTTGGGACCTCCATCTCCTTATGAATGTTGGGACCTCCATCTCCTTATGAATGTTGAGACCTCCATCTCCTTATGAATGTTGGGACCTCTATCTCCTTATGAATGTTGGGACCTCCATCTCCTTATGGTTCTTGCCATATTCAGGTTTTAATTTTCTTATTTATGCTTCCATTTTGAAAAAAATATATATTAAGGTGGTGTCACCTTATATTCTTTTTAGGTCTTATACAACCTAAAATAAGGGTATCAAAAATCATTCTAAAAACAAAATATATTCATTCATTTTTTGTCTTTTTTAAATATTGCTCTTTATGTAAAGCTTATTTAAATGATGAGTTAAATGTTGAGTTAAATTATATTATTGAGAAGCTTATTTAAATGATGATTTATTGATGAAATTTATTTGTGACAAAGTATAAATATAAGTCTTAATTTTAAGTAGCAGAAAGTTATTTTTAATCTTAAAATTAATCTTAAAATTTTAATCTTAAAGTTAATCTTAAAATCTTTGAGGTCGATAATAAATTTAAACACTATTTCTAATTTTTTTGTATCTGGAGGGACCTCAAGTGCTATAACAAAAAAAAATTAGCAAAATCCAAAACATGGAGTATCACGGAGCTTGCTGATTTGACATTAAATGTCAGAATATTTTGTTGATAATACTTATATGTTAATGTTGAAAATTATCAACATATATTATAATCTATAAAAAGTATATACTTTTTATAAAAAGTCTATAAAAAAAAGTAAATGCATAGCTGAATGAACAAAAGTATAAAATTTTTCTTGTTCTGCTTAATAAAATTTCCTTTTGCTATGATCATAAAATCAAAGTTTATGCAGTTGAGACATTAGCGATTGAAATATAACGCTTGGAATCCAAGGACAAAAAAATTGTGTTACGTTGTGTAGTATTATTTAATTTTTTTATTTATTGTATATATGTCTTGTTTATAAAAAAAATTCCTTTAACTTTGAAATAGAAATTTTAGATAAACAATCATTACATTTACGTCAATCAATTAATATGAAAGGTACTTTAATATGAGTATGTAATTAGTAATTAGGTATGTTTATATGAACTTAAATTTAAAATAGATCTATGATGTCATCTATCTATGATTAGAAAGTTGATGATGACATAAAAAAGAAGATTGACAAAAATGCATAAAACATTTACGTGTGGAAAAGGTAGTGAAACTCCCAATTTTTTGTGGCAGTTAGAGGTCGTTGATACTATCATGAAGAATATGGAGATTTTTTTGAATAAAAGATTGTTGATCGGAGGTGGTTTTTGCAGTGTTCAGAACAAATGGGAATCTGTTTGGGTTTCTGCTGTTGGTGTGAGGTAATTTAGTTGTTATAGGATGGTATAAGTCAGCAAGGATCTTTTTAAGGGTACTAATGCAGATCTTGTCTAGTAACTCTTCAATGACGAATCTAATATTGAAGCTGCTCGAATTGTATACATCAGTTTCAATAATGTTTAGAGCATTTTTATGGAAATGCTGCATCTCTTTTTTTGCAGCAGGACTGCATGAAGTAAGAACAGGAGGATTATATATCATATGACTAATAGCGTAAGATCTATAGACTTGTAGAAGATTGAGCTGAGTGTGTCCAATTTGATTGAGGCGTTTGAGTAGATATGGTACTGATTTTATAGTGTTGTGCACTTTAGTCCATTGTTTATCCTAATCAAGGTTCTTATTGAGCATCATTCCAAGGTATTTGTGTCTGTTGACTTTTTCTTTATTGTTGAGTATGAGAGAAAGTATAACTTGAATTTTGGAGCACCTTGGAATAATTCTAATGATTTTACATTTAAAGCTAACCCCTAAAACGGTTTAAAGCACACCCCAAAATTGGTTTACGGGAGAATTTACAGCTCTTGCTAAAGTATAATTTCCTCTCTCAAAAGGATAATTATCATCGTAACTAAAATAAAAAACACAAAGTCATTTTTATTAAAAAAAATTAAATTAATTAGACAATAAACTGCAATGCTTTTTAAAAGGTACGGTTTTTGCAAAAAAAAAAAAAAAAATTATATATATATATATATAGATATAGTCTTGCATGGTAGTCAGAAAGTTTATACCATAAACTGTAGTTTTAAAGAGAGCTTTAATAAACCAAAGCAGAAAAAGTTTAAATAATTTTTTCAAAATGATAGACTGCCTGCCCTAACCAAACCCTCAGTCGATGTAGCAGCACTCCCTTGCGAGTCTATTATTTTTTATTTTTTTGTTTTAATTCACCTCCTCAAGGCCGAGAAGGCCACTACAGACGAGGAGGCTACTTATTTATCAGTTATACTTATTTATTAATTATATTATTTGTCAGTCAATGTAGCAGCACTCCATTGCGATCAGGCTCTTAGATAGTCGATGTAGCAACACTCCGCGCATGTTTTAAAAATATATTTTAATAAAACAAAAACAAAAACACCATTAAATAAAAAAAACTTTATAGTCAATTATTATTGCGGTTTTTTTAAAAAACAATAAAGTTTTATGTACTTCTGCATTAATTTATTTGCTTTGACATTTTGACGACAATAAAATGTAGCTTAATTGTTGAGGTAGTAAAATTTTAGTTGAAAGAGACATTTTTTTTACATTAAAAAGCTCTTTTGACTATATATATATATATATATATATATATATATATATATATATATATATATATATATATATATATATATATATATATATATATATATATATATATATATATGTTTCTTTTCACAGCAAGTAATGTCACTTTTAATTGAGTAGCCCATTTGTAAAACACACTAAGTTTGAGTAATTTGATTTTGAAAAAATGACTAAAAACTGAACTACTTATAGTTGTGCATCAACAGAAATTTGTCTATTTTTTACAGATATTGATACTTTGTCTATTTTTAGGACAAAAAATATTTTAATTGGTCTAATATTTAAAGGAATTTCAGTATATAGAATGTAGAAATGGAATTAACTCAAAATTGTTATTTTTGTGCGTTTTGCATATGGACTCCTTAATTACTTCATCTTTTTTTCAACATTTCTGTTTTATCTAAAAGCTAAAACCATAATATTAATTGTAAATGAAATGTTTTTAAATAACACAAAAAAAAAAAAAAAAAAACTTATTTGACTTAAAACACCCCTTTTTTTTTTAATGCAGTGTGTTTTTTTTTTAATGTTTTATTGTCTTTTTTTTCAATTTTTTTAATTTTATTTTTATATTTGTTCTATTGACTGCATAATGTACATACATTCACTGAAATAGGTAGAAGATTCTAGGAGTGTACATACATCTACTGAAATAATATCAGCAATAATAATATATTTAATGTCGAAATATTTTTTTTCAGATATTTTGAACTTTGAAGTTATACACTTTGGAGTCATTAATGATATAGCTTTGTTTGTATTCGATTCTAATAATACTTTTCATGTCTACCCTTTATCATGTGAGCAAAGTGCACCTATAAACTTTAATACAAATGAATACAATACAGGTGAATGGAAAACACGATTACATCTGCTTAAGGCTGCAACACTATTACAAAATAAACCTAGTATGTTTTAATATTTATATATACTTTATAAGTTATGTATGAGTTATTTATTTTAATGAATACCCATATATTTAATAGTTGATTGTAGAGGTTTTATTAATAAGATATATTAATCTAATTGAAGGCTTATATTATTGAACTAAATAATACAGTATCCCCCAGTACTCCTAAATACTATAGTCGTAACTTTTCTCTTCCAGTAACTTCCAACTCTAATAGTGGCTGCTTGCAACCTTGTTGAAAGTAAAGATGTTAGAAAATTTTTTTTTTTTTTGTTTATTTAGGAAGTTATAGTCCCTACGTAGATTTTGAAAGCCTTCCTTAATTTTAGATTATATTTAAAAATATATGTTGATGTCTAATTATGTGCACATTTGTCAATTTGTCAAAATGAGTCATACAAATAGAACCATATAAAATGTAATATTGCCATTTTTTATAGAGAGCAAGTTATTGACTCCAAATTCTTTTTGTGGTCCGATGTGGATGAATGAGCTTGATATTATCTTAATTCACGTTTCTAAATCAATTGTACTTCTTAAATGCGAAAAAAGTGCAGATAAATCCTCATATATAATCAAATATGATTATCAAGAAAATGAGTTTGCCTTTTGTAAAATCCCATCTGGCATCTCACTGTCTTTTGGTGAAGGACATATGATTCCTATTTTATTTGTTTCTGCTAGTCAAATAATGTTGCCATTTTTCGGAGTTTCTCAAGAGGATCTTATTGATAAGGTTCTTCTAAAATTTGTATATATCAATATATTAATGCATATATATATATATATATATATATATATATATATATATATATATATATATGTGTATATATATATATTTAATATTTATATTTATATATATATCTATATATTTATTTATATATATATATGTATATATATATATATATATATATATATATATATGTATATATATATATATATATATATATATATATATATATATATATATATATATATATATATATATATATGTATATACAGATAGATAGATAGATAGATATATATAGATATAGATATATATATATATATATATATATATATATATATATATATATATATATATATATATATATATAGATATATATGTACATATACACATATATATACACACACACACATATATATATATACATAAATATATATATATATATATATATATATATATATATATATACATAAATATATATATATATATATATATATATATATATATATATATATATATATATGTACATATATACATGTATATATATGTATATATATGTATATATGCACAAATATATATATATATATATATGTACATATATATATATATATATATATATATATATATATATATATATATATATATGCATTAATATATAGATATATATATATGCATTAATATATATATATATATATATATATATATATATATATATATATATATATATATAAATAAACACACACACGCACACACACATATATATGAATTAAATATATATATATACATATTATATATATATATATATATATATACATATATATATATATATATATATATATATACATATATAAATATATATATATATATACATATATATATATATATGTATATATATATATATATATATATATATATATATATATATATATATATGTATATATGTATATATATATATATATATATATATATATATATATATATAAATATATTATATATATATATATATATATATATATATATATATATATATATATATATATATATATAGATAGATAGATAGATAGATAGATATATATAGATATATATATATATATATATATATATATATATATATATATATATATATATAGATATATATGTACATATACACATATATATACACACACACACATATATACATATACATAAATATATATATATATATATATATATATATATATGTATATATGTATATATATATATATATATATATATATATATATATATATATATATATATATATATATATATATATATATATATATATATATATATATATATATATATATATATATATATATATATATATATATATATATATATATATATATATATATATATATAGGGTCAGGGCAATAACATTCGTTTTTACCATGTATAATAACATCCGTGAAACAACATTCGAAATTTCATCGATGTATAATAACATCCGTGCAACTACATCTGTAGATTTTTCGGATGTAACTACATCGAATTTTTTTTTTTTTTAAATGCATAATTCTAACCAGATGTAGTTACGCATCTGATTTTTTTCAGATGTAACTACATCAGAAAAAAAAAATTATTATTATGCATTATTTTAAAGGGATCCCTAAGTGCTATAAAGATATGATCTCATATGAAAGAGCATTAAAAAAAAAATGTTTGATGTATATTATTTTTTCTAAAACGTAATAATGAACACACACTTACAAATTTAATTTTTCAAAAAAACGCTTTTCTTCGATTAAAAAAAATGCATTTTGTCCGAAGTTTATTGACTCTATTGCCTCAAAAAACTAACGTTTGTACGTCAAAATAAACAAAGTAGACAAAATGTTGTTATTGCAAACTTATTAGTTGGTAATTAAATTTGAAAGTAAAGTCGTTTTTTTTCAACTAACACGTAATTACTTACAAGAATAAGTTTTGTAGCATTTTGTGAAAATATATTTGTATATTAAATTTTTTTTTATAATTTTAATTTATATATTTGTGTTATAAGGGCAATTCCACGGCCAAAAATAAATAGAAGTCAAATTTCAAACTCTTTTTAGTCAGTTTTTAACAAATGAATATTGAAAAATGTTTTAGTTAAATTAACATTTATGTTAATTTTGCTATATTTTTTGGTTCAAATTGATAAGGTTGAATAGTAATTAAACTAAGACAGGGCTCGAATTAACGCAAAAAAATCTAATCGCGAAAAAAAAAATTTTTTTGTGTTTCCCTCCCCTCCCCCCTCCCCCCACCCCCACCCCCCCTCTCTCACTTATAACTCGCAACGATGTGCGGTAATGGGGGGAAAAAATTATCGTCAGTAAATCAAAAAACATCGTCAAAAACTTATTAAAAATTAGATACCACGTTTTTATAATTTATTGTTTCTTGAATAAAGGACTAATAAAAGTTTAAATATAATTATGTTTTTCATTTAAATGGTTGATGTTTTTATTCAATTTTTCTATTTCAAGTTTTCCAATAAAAGATGAAACAAAAAAATTTGGTTTAATAAATCGAATTATACTTCATGTTTAAAATAAGGCTTAAAAACGTTAAAGTAAAAAAAACTGCTGGTTTTTATTAGCATTTTTATACTGTTTGAAAAAAAAAACTAATAAAAAAGAATTAACTAATAATATATTAATTAATAGTTATTAGAATTAATAATAATAACAATTAATTCTTTTTTATTAATTTTTTTTTTTCAAACAGTATAAAAATGCAAATAAAAGTCAGTAATTTTTTTGCTCTAACGTTTGTAAGCCTTATTTTAAACATGAAGTTTTGATAAACAAAGATAAAAACCAACTTTTCAACTTTTCGCTTTAACGACCTTGTAAAAATTTCCCACGCAGAGATTCAAAGTAATTTAAATTCAAAAATGTTTTATGTTGAAAGAAAATCTCAGCGCGAAAAAGCAAATCATCTATTCATCTATCTATTCAGAATAATAAATTTTGTGTGATGTTCTTTATGATAAAAACATTACTTTTAAGAATTGCTAAAAAAAATGCTAAGCTAGAAAAAAAGTAATTAAACAACCAAAAAAAAAAAAAAAAAAATCGTGAAAAGATTTTTTTAAAGAAAAAACTAAACACAAAAGTGTGAAAAGCAATCGCGATACGCTTAATACGAGCCCTGTAAGACTTTTTTATAAGTTCTAAACTATTTGAAACTATTACTTAATAACTTTTTTTTTAACAACGTCTTTCAACCGAATGCTATTATACTGTTTTTGCAAAACTAATTAAAAAAACTTGATTAAAACTTAACTATTTAATCACAACTTTTTTTTACTTGAAAATCGAAGTAGATATTCTAAAGTTGTTGTGACGTACTAACGTGATTTTTAAAGACTAACAATCGAGTTTCAATGGTGAAAAAATAAAATCAAAATGGAGTTGTTTTTCAGTGATTTCGGCAATTGCTTTTTGTTAGCATGCATTTATTATTACAATTTAGTGAAAAAGAAAAAAAACTTACATATTTTTTTTTATGCTCTTTCATATGAGATCATATGTTAGGAGCACTTAGGGATCTCTTTAAGCATAATAGATTTTTTTTTTTTAATTATTTGATAGACTGCCTGCCCAAACCTAACCCTCAGTCGATGTAGCAGCACTCCGTTGCGAGTCAGGCTATTTTCAGTCGATGTAGCAGCACTCCGTTGCGAGTCAGGCTATTTATCAGTCGATATAGCAGCACTTATATAATATAATAATTATATATGTAATGTATAAATGTAACTACATTCAGAATTTATTTTTTAATAATGCATTATTTTAACTAGATGTAGTTACACATCTGATTTTTTTCGGATGTAACTACGTCTGAAAATTTATTTTATTTAATAATGCATTATTTTAGGCGGATGTAGTTACACATCAAGAAAAACTCTCGGATGTAGTTACATCTTTCTAAAGATGTTGTTAGGCATCAATGAAATTTCAGAAGTTGTTGCACAGATGTTAATTCAGTAATGAAAAAAAGCAGATGATCTTACACAAAAATGTGCGGATGTTATTTCACTACTCCACGGATGTTGTTGGACAGATGTAGTAATCTTTTCCCTATATATATATATATATATATATATATATATATATATATATATATATATATATATATATATATATATATATATATATATATATATATATATATATATATATAATATGTATATATATATTAATATATATATATATATATATATATATGAGTTTATAGGTTATTCAGTTTTCTAATATTTCAATGGCTGAAAAAATTTGCAAAGCAAATGAATGGGATCAATTTTCAATTCCTCTTTATACTCTTGAGGTTGGCTTGCGGCTTAGACAGTTGGATGCCATTGAAATTTTTTTAAAGAGTAGAGATAAACGTATGTACATTATTTTTAGGTGGGAGATAAAAATAGATTTTAAAATCATATATTTAAGAAAAAGTTTTAACTTTTTCATCTTAAAATTTATACTTTTTAAGTTTTTCAATAGCAAAAGTAAATTTTTTTAAATTTAAATTTTTATGTTTAATTAGCTTTCACACGACATTGGAAGCAGTTTTATTACAAATTAAACTCTAATTTGGTATCATTTGAGTCTGATGAATTAAAAGAAACAATTAAAAAGTTACAGGGTTCCATCTTAACTGCATCAAAGCGTGAGTTTTTTTGTTTTTGTTTTTTTATTTTCATTTTATTTTGTTTTTTATTTTTTATTTATGTTTACATTTTGTTTACAATTATAATTTTTTTTCGTCAAATCATTTAAAGGAGAAAATATTAAAAAATCAATAAATAAAAAATGTCTTTAAACTGAAAAAAAGAATTTTGTAATTTTTTTTTTGATGATTTTTTTTTGATAGTTTTTGTTTGATGCAGTATTTTTTGTAGATAAAATTAGGTTTATTAAAACAACTGTTGTAAAGGTTAGGGAAAAACATTTTACCTCTAAATAAATGATAAAACACCGTACAACATTAACATAATTTATAATACAAATAGAAAGATTTTATGTAACTTTATAGAAGCAGTGTTTTGAGAAAGAAATCATGCTCAAGAAAGAAATCGGAGGATTTCTTTCTTGAACATTTTTTTTTTCCTGACAATTACAGCTTATGATGTCAGATTGTCCCAGATCTTGACAACTTGATTAAATAAACTGTATCTGCATATATCCATCTGAGATTGACCAATCAGTTGACTGATGACATCTGAGATTGATCAATCAGTTGATAACAATTGACCAGTTGTTTATACGCAATGATACATCTGAGATTGACCAGTTGTTTATGTACATTAATTGATACAAACTAAGATATGTTTTAAAACATAAAACCTTTTCTTTCATGGTTGTTCTCACTTTTCTACAACTCCATGAAAATAATGCAATTCAAATGGTTTTGACAATAAATCCTGCACTTGATCTAAAATCATTTTTAAGATATGTTGATGATAGTCATGCAAGGTTTCCTAACATCAAATAAGCAAAATAGTTGCAAGATATTTTAAATCAACAACATTCTGCAATACAATACACAATTGAAGTTAATAATGAAACAAAAATGCTTAACTTTCTTGATATAACCATTGCAAATAACACTAGGAAAACATGAGTACAAAGTATATCGAAAAGAGTCAATCACTAACATTCAAATTAAACCGCATTCAAATCATAATCTGAATATTTTAACAGCATTTAAAACATTTAAAAGTTTTCTCCACAGAACATTTAAAAGTTTTCTCCACAGAGCTTACTCCATTTGTAGTAAAAATCATTTGCAAAATGAAATAAATTTTTTAATTGACATGTTTATTGAAAATGGGTACAGTGAAAAGATATTGAGGAATATTACACACCAATTTCATCAAAGAAGACAAAATAAAAAGACAATTCTATCAGAATGCAATAATCTTCCTTTAGTGTCTTTACCTTGGGTACCAGGCCTTTCACCAAAACTTCGAAAAATATTTTGAAAAGCAGGGTACAGAGTAGTATTTGAATCAAAACCCAAGTTTAAGATCTTTATTAACATCAAAAAACAAAACAAAACTACCAAGTAACAGCCAGCCTAGAACCTATATAATAAAATGCAACTGCTCCAAAGTTTACATAGGTGAAACAAAAATGCAGGTAAATACACAGATGCATCAACATTAGAAGAGCATTAATGAAAACAAACCTAATCAATCTTCTCCATGGTTTTCCTCACATTGTGCTGCTGCAATTGCCAATCAAAACCATTACTTCCATATCTATCAGCAAAACAATTCTCCAGAAAACAGATGTCTGTTTATTACTGCTAAGAACCATTGTAAAAAAGGTTTTTTCTAACGCCAAAGCCCACTATTCTCAGGTCATGAAATTTCATATTACATCACAAAAACTAGGCTCTCGTGATTTCTGGAGAATATTTAATAATATCAATAATAATGGCAAGTCTGTAATTCCACCTCTTTTGTATGGTTCAGACTTTGTCACCTCACCAAAGACAAAGCTGAATTGTTGGCTAAGAACTTTTCATCAATATCATCTCTTGATTCCACTAGTTGCGTTCTACCTGATATAGCCGTCAAACAGGTTGATCCATTGCTTGACATTCGCATCACTCCAGCTACTGTATTTAAAGTGTTTTCCTGCTTAGATTCTTCTACAGCTTGTGGCCCGAACAACATACCTGTTATAGTTTTGCAAAAGTGTTCTCCGGAGCTGTCGTCTATCTTTTTCAAAACTATTCATAATGTGCTTATCAGAATCTTGTTTTCCAGCCCTCTGGAAAGTAGCATATGTTATCCTTATTTTTAAAAATCTTATTCGTCTAACTACGGTCCCATTAGTCTTCTTCCTATCATAAGCAAGGTTTTTGAATCTTTAATTAACACTTAATCTCTCATCTTGAATCTAATAACTTACTTTCTGATCATCAATATGGATTTCGATCTTCTCTTTTTATGGCTGATTTGCTAACAGTAATAACCAATAGGTTTTATCGCGCATTAGATAAAGATGGAGAGGTTATGGCCATTGCTCTTGACATTTCTAAAGCGTTTGATAAAGTTTAGCATGCTGGTCTTCTCCATAAGCTTTCTTCTTACGGTGTATCTAAACTTTTTTAAGATTATTGAATCCTTCCTTTCCAATCGTAGTATAAAAGTTGTCCTTGATGCACTCCTTCATTTCCTGTAACTTTAGGGGTTAATCATGTTTCCATCCTTGGCCCTATAGTTTTTTTAATTTATATTAACGATATCCCAGAAATTCTTACATCTAAGGTGGCATGGTTTGCTGATAATACTAGCATTTTTTCTTGTCTTGATAAGAAGCCAACACTCACTGATTTTTTGGAAGGGGCATTTTAGCTTGAGAAGGATCTCATTTCTACTACAGTATTTGGCTCTTAGTAGTTAATGAACTTTAACTCAGATAAAATTCAATTTTTTCTGTTAATCTTTATTGCGATCATCTAGATCTTCTTATATTTATGAACAATAATGTGCTCGATAAGTCATCTACCCTTCATCTTCTTGGATTGACTCTTTCTTCTGATCTTTCTTGGAAACCGTATATCAAATCCATTGCAAAATTAGCATCTGCTAAAGTTGCATCTTTTTATTGAGCTCGAGACTTTCTTACTCTGGATTCTATTCTCTATCTCTATAAATCTTAAATCCGACATTGTATGGAATTCTATTGCCATATCTGGGGTGGATCTCTTAATGATGCCCTTTCTCTTTTAGACAAGGTACAAAAACGCATTGTAAACATAGTTGGACCTGTCCTTGCTGCCAACCTTTAACCATTATCACATCGTCACAATGTTACTTCTCTTTTTCTTTTCTATAAATACTATAATGGGCACTGCTCTAAAGAGCTAGCGTCTCTTGTGCCATCTACAAAAATTCATTCTTGTGTTACTCGTCATTCAATTAAGTCTCATCCTTTTTCTGTTACTGTTTCTAAGTGCTCCAAAAACTTTTATTTGTCTAGTTTTTTTACTTGAACATAAGTTCTTTGGAATTCGTTTCCTTCATCTTGCTTTCCTGATTCATATAATTTGCAATCTTTTAAGTTGTCTGTCAATCGTTATCTTGCTCTACAGTCTTTTTTCTACCAGTAACTTCCAACACTAATTAGTGATTGGTTGCAGCCTTGTTGGAAGCGAAGATGTTTAAAACAAAAAAAAAAAAAAAAAAAATATCATTTCCTTTTAACACCACACCATGGCACATCAAAATTATCACCATTGCTGTCATTTATCCATTGTCATTAAGGTTATATGTACTTAGGTTATATGTATTATTGTTAAAGTTTATTTATCTGTTGATTCATCTGACAATTATTCTTAAAGGATTCCTTTTTATGAGGTTTTTCCCTGTAAAATAATTTTCTTGATTGTCATTTTTGTAAGCCTCTTTGCCATTCTTGTTTTTTTTTTGAGCTGCAAATGTCTCTTTTTCCCAGGTATCTGTGTCTATTAAAGATTTACCCTTGCGATGTCCTCAATTATTAGTGTTTGATTTCAATGGAGCAGCTCTAGATCGAAATTATTGTGTGGTAACATGTGAATCAATAAAGATGTGGCTTTAATATACATTCACTAAAAACTTTCTTTGTGCGGAATTGATCTTCAAAGGAAATATGGTGTTACAATTGTTAATGATTGTACAAATAGAAATTTACAAAACTTTAATAATTGTCCATAGGAAATTGTTATTTAGCAATAATTTCAAAAGCATTGGACAATTTGACTTTAAACAATGTCCAAAACGTATAAAGTCTCCCCATATGGGTGTATTGAAAAAATTAAGGTATTTGTTCCAAACTCATTTATTGATCACAAATACTTATATTCCCAAATTCCGCAAGTAACTGTTTGTTCTAACAAAATGTCTTTATAATTTAAATCTATTTTGGGAATGAAATTATTACACACAACAGAGAAATTCAGCAAAAGGGTATTATATTTCAAAATTATCATTCAATGGCCTTTTATTAAATTTTCAAAAAACTTGATTCTAAATTTTTCATAGTAATAACTAAATCTAAAGTATTTTTAACTTCCTCCTTACATAGCTAAAAAGAAGGAAGATACAGATGTTGTATGAGATTTAAGTATCTGTACCATGAATTTTCATTGAATCATCACTACTTTCATATATGTATTTGTATTTCTGCATTATTTTTACATACATTTCTATGTAATTGTATTCATAAATTTAAAATAGAACAATCTAGTTGACTAAAAGTTTTTTTTTTAAGCCAAACAACTTAGTTGTTGCAGAATGCAAATGGAAAGGGAGAAGTAGAACTTAAGTCTTTGTTGAACCATTCCTGTTTTTTTTTATTAAATTGTAATAATTTTATCTCTCCACTGAATCAAGTGAAATGTAAACTTTTTTGTATGTGCTTATTTTTCTGAACTTTCACAAGTTTCAACAAATCACAATGCAATTACGGATTGCGCTCCAAAGCATCCTGTAGATCAATAAGTAATGTTTTAATAAATTACTTGACTTTGATATTGTATCTACAGGCCTTGTTTTAAATAAAAAAGTGCTTAATGCATTAGCTTAACGCGATTTTGACGTCATAAAATTATCTTTATTTTTTTTTATAGGCGTTAAGTGTTTTAACTACCGCAATAAATAAATAACCGCAAACTAATTCAATTTAACAATTAACTCAAATATAAACTATAAACGTTTTAAATATAAATTTATTATGAAAATTTTGTAATGTTTTCAATTGTTATTTTATTATTAATTTTAGTTCAATATTATTTAGTGAAAAAAAAAAATTTATATATATTAATTATTTCTGAAATTTGTTTTTGAATAATTGTTTTTAATCGTTATTGAATAAAAAATAATAATGATTTTTTTTATTTTTAAAAATTTCTAGAGTAAACAAAAAATATTAACATTGATAAACACAAACCCATGTTAATGATTTTTAATTATATTTAAACAACGATTTTGTTTTGACTAGCAAAGAAAAATTTAAGTTTTTAAATATTTTTTAAGTTTTTAAAAGCGTTTCAACTTGCGTTTTATAAAAATATAAAAAAGTTTTGTCTGCTTTGAAGCGTATTTTTGATACGTAGTTTAGAACGCGTTCGCCAGGAATTTAATTCATAAACTTTTTATGTTATTGTAAAAATATTTAATTTTTTAAACAAATCACAAAGAAACAGAGCTATAGAGAAAAATTGTTTTCAACGATTAAATCTTTTTTTTTTTTTTAATTTTAGGAAATTAAAAAAAAAAAAAATTAAATATGAAAGTCTTAATTATGCAAACTCTTTTATTAATTATTCTTAAAACAAAAAAACAAATACTTGTACGCCAAACTTTAATCGTGCAAACTTTATAAAAATACTCAACTGAAATAATTTAAGTATATTTAATAATTTGAATCGTATCTGTTTATAATAAACGTTCGTAAAAATTTGTTTATTAAAAATTAAGTTCCTTAACTTATAAACAAACTCAAAAGTATTTTCATTCTACGTATAATTACAAAACTCTTTTTTTTTTTTCGTTTGTAAGCAATTTAATTTAATAAAAAAAAAAAAAGAATAAATATGAGGTAATCTTTGTTAAGAATAAATTTAATTTATTTATTGAACTATATTTTTATTTTTAATTACATATCAACTTAATTAAAATATAGTAACATGTTAAAATATTTTAACATGACTTGTATTATTTATAAACCGTTGGGCAGTTGCCCTTACGGCACTATTGTTTTTGGATAATATTTTATTTTGATGAAGATCACATAACTTACATTTGATTTTAATAACGTAAGTCTTCTCTTTTTCTGTGATCATCGCATCGGCAAAGTCCCAAGATTTAAATGTTTTTAAAGTAAATCTTTTGTCCTTCAAAATACAATCCATATTCGAACTTTAAATAATTTAGAGATAATAGAAATATACAAGGTTTTTATATACTAGTTTGTTTTGTTTTATAAAGAAAAATACATATACATTAGTAAAAAATGGAGACTGTCATTAAACTCAAACGTGCCTTAGTATTTATTTAACGGAACCTGTAATGTGCGCGTGCATAATAAAACCTCCGTTATATAAATATATTCAACGTAATATTAGTGTCATCAGCGGATGTTGTAGTCATGATTTCTTTACCTTATATTATAACTTGATTTATGACAAAAAAAACTTATTGAATCGCACGCAGAAGAATTTTAACAAATTGTCTTCATTCAAATATTGCGAGTAACAGGTAATTTTTTTTTCTGTGCCGACCCCCGACCCCCGCATAACTTAAACTATATACTAATAAACTAATAAGAAAAGCTATATACTATTAAACTAACTATAAGCTATATACTATTAAACTAATAAGAAAAGCAAAGACATTTTTTTTTAACATCTCGAAAAAATGTCTTGATATTTTTGTTATCATGATAACAAAAATATTAAGACATTTTTTGAGATTTTATTTAAAAAAATGTCAATTCTTAATTACAAATTTTTTTGCAAATGTTTTTTATTATAAATTCAGTAAAAAATTCATAAAAAATCTATATTACAAAAAACTTTTATATTCTGTATTAATCAATATGGAGTATAGATTTTTTAAAAGTTTTTTACTAAAAACTTTACTACTTTTTATTAAAAACATTGCAAAAAATTTGTAGTTAAGGATTGACAAACAATTTTTCATGTTGCTAAATATTTGGATAAAAAGTTTAGCGTCAAATTAATTGCTATAAAAAGGAAAGATATATCGCGATGAAAAGTTACAACAATTAATTACATTAAATTTTTTTAAACAATTAATTAAAAACAAGTAAATTCTTTTTTTTAATAAATACATATCGTTATTTAAAAGTTAATGTGGTTTTTTTGAAAATTAATTACTTCTTTTATGTTACCGCTAATTTAAAAGTTAAAAAATGATAAAAAGTAGCTTAACCAAAACAGCTCTACGCGTACGTAAAAAGCGCTTAAGGCGTACGTAAATCGCTCTAGGCGTAACGCTTTAAAACAAGGCCTGTATCTATATATATTGTATCTATAAATTTGACTTTGCATATTGTATTTCATAAATTTGACTTTGCATGGCCTTAAGGTGATACATCAGAAAGAAAAAATCTTTGAATTATTAATTTCATATAGCTTAATTCATAATTAAATCAGAAAAATGAATTTGCAGCCGTAGCGCAGTGGTTAACGTGCTTGCCTCAGAAGCTTGAGATCTGTAGTTCAACCTCTAGACGTTTTATAATATCAGTAAAGAAGGATAATATCAGTAAAGAAGATATGAGCTTCCTTTCAATTTCTGTGCTGTTCAACCTGAATATTATGAAGAATATTTTTTACTTAACTATTTTAATAAGTATTGAAAACATAAAAATTAAAAAAAAATTTATTTATAAAACATTTTTAGAAAAATTATTTAAGTTAAAATCAGAAGCACTTTTTTATATTATGTAAATACTAGATGATGCAGTAACTTAAAAAATATTTCTGTTTTCAGCGCTGTATAAATTTGTACAACAATTTATGCAGCCATTATACTAATTATACCAATTTATGCAGCCTTTATACTAATTAAAAAAACAAAACTACAATCTTTAAACTAGTTATGCCAAAAATATTTTTAAATTTACAAATATTTATACAAATTTTTTTATATACTCAAAAAATTACTTTTTGCTGACACAACTAAATGCTTTATTATTATTTTTTTATGTATAAAATATAATTGTAAGTTTTAAAATCTTTTAGCAGAAAATTTTTTTGCATAATAACTACAAGTGGTTTTAAGTATAAAAATCACGTTTTTTTTTTAATCTAGGCAAACACGAGGACAACTTTTTTGAAGGACTGTTTATGGTAACAATATGTTATCTTAACAGTTTAATTCAAGACGGGATTGAGACATTAAAAAGTTTACCTGAAGTTGTTCCAAATAAAAAGATTAGTTTAACCAATCAATCAACTGATTTAAACCTTTTTGAAGACTTGCATGAAACTTTAAATTATTTAGCCCAAGTAGTTGTTAAATTAAGAACATATTTAAAGGTATCTTTTAATGACAATCCACAAACAGATTCTATAGATGGAGGGAAGCAACATCAGGTTTGTTTTTTTTATTTTCAAATTTAATATTTCATAAATTCATTTTTGTTGCTTTTTGCTCTGTAACCTAAGTTTAATTCCAACTTAAATTATATGAACATCAACTTACATGGACATCAACTTACATGAACATCAACTTATTAGAATTTCAACTTATTGGAACATCAATTTAAATAATGCTCATCCTTTTTTTAAACATTTTTCTAATCTAAATATACTTTTAAACTTTTTTTTATATTTTTAATTTTAAGTTTTTAATTTTAAATTTAGTTGTCCTATTATTAAAAAAGTTGTCTTTTTTTGAACACTTGAGTTTTAATTTTATCTATTGTAGAATTTTCATAATTTGAGTATAATCATATTTTGGAAATTTGCTGATTTCCTTGACACCCAGGAGGTGCAGCAGCATCACTTTTTCACTTTTTCATAGTGGAATTTTAATTGATTATAAAAACCATTTTCCTGTTTTCTATTTACTGAAAAACAATGGAAATTTTCAAAAGATATCTTATAATATAATGTATTATAAAACTTTTACTTTGGGTCTTATCTTCATGCCAAAGATAAAATGCTTGTCTTAGATTTGTACTGAATCTTCCTCATATAATTTGATAAAATTGAATCTTCCTCGTATAATTTGATAAAATTGAATCTTCCTCATTTGATACAACTTGTAATAGGTATCTCTTCTGTTGCTCATCATTTGTGATTAATTTGTTGTAACTTTCAATCAACTTCACTTTCAATATCATCATCAACTTTCATATGTTTCAATACAAATAACTCTCATCAAGTGGCCAATCTTCAAATGGTTTTTAAATTCTTCTACTGGTTTGCTTTTTGATGTCTATTTCTCTCTTCTTTGGAAGTTCTGTTTCCAAAGGTTTTGTAATCCTTTATTATAAATGTGTAAAACTTCACTTTTTTTAAAACAATTTTTTTTTTTATGTCAGTCAACAGATAACAAAGAAAAGAGTTAGTGAACAAGAAAAAAGAGAGCTAGTGAACAAGAAAGAAGAGAGCTAGTGAACAAGAAAGAAGAGAGCTAGTGAACAAGAAAGAAGAGAGCTAGTGAACAAGAAAGAAGAGAGTTAGTGAACAAGAAAGAAGAGAGTTAGTGAACAAGAAAAAAGAGAGCTAGTGAATAAGAAAGAAGAGAACTAGTGAACAAGAAAAAAGAGAGCTAGTGAACAAGAAAGAAGAGAGCTAGTGAACAAGAAAGAAGAGAGCTAGTGAACAAGAAAGAAGAGAGTTAGTGAACAAGAAAGAAGAGAGCTAGTGAACAAGAAAAAAGAGAGCTAGTGAATAAGAAAGAAGAGAACTAGTGAACAAGAAAAAAGAGAGCTAGTGAACAAGAAAGAAGAGAGCTAGTGAACAAGAAAGAAGAGAGCTAGTGAACAAGAAAGAAGAGAGCTAGTGAACAAGAAAGAAGAGAGTTAGTGAACAAGAAAGAAGAGAGTTAGTGAACAAGAAAGAAGAGAGCTAGTGAACAAGAAAAAAGAGAGCTAGTGAACAAGAAAGAAGAGAGCTAGTGAATAAGAAAGAAGAGAGCTAGTGAACAAGAAAGAAGAGAGCTAGTGAACAAGAAAAAAGAGAGCTAGTGAATGAGAAAGAAGAGAACTAGTGAATAAGAAAGAAGAGAACTAGTGAACAAAAAAGCAGTTGATAGAAGAATTAAAAAACTGTATATTTCTTGAGTCAGAAAAACATGAAGATTACAAAGCATTATTGTCTGCAGAAAACAACTAAATGATCAAAACTTTTTTGAGCATAAAAAACAATTTTAGTAAAAGGATGTAGCTAAATGACATTTTTACCAGATTTGTTTTAAAATTTGACAAGTTTTGGTTCATAAAGCAAATGATGATTCTAAAGCAGCAACTATTTGTAAAAAAGAGAAAGAGATGCAAGTTTATAAAAAATCCAACAACATTTACAACGTGTTTTTGTACCTAAAATTTTTTTTTTAAAAGACTTTTTGTCTAAAAGACTGAGGGTTTCATTAAAAGTACCAGCCTAAATATGACAACAGTATTCAACACTAGAACAAAAAAGTGGTTTATGAAGGTAGAAAATTGAATCACAAGCACAAAAAATAGAGACAGTTTTAGCAGGTGTAAACTTTGCAATGGATTGTATATTTGGGTTCCATGAAAGGTCATTTCCACGAGAGGTTATGATAATTCAAGAAGATTTTAAGTGGAGAATCAATATAAGAATATTCAACAAGTTAAGATGAAAAACAACTTTAGCAACAGAATAAAAGATGTTTAACAAAAGATTATTCTGTTTATCTAGGTTTAAAAGTTTGAAAAAAAAATCTTGCAAATAGTTCTGCCTTTGGGAATCTTAGCCGCTCATAAATAACGATTCTTAGCAGAGAGACAAAATACATCATTTCAAAAATATTAGTCAGATTTTAGGTAGTAGCAAGAAGTGTGATGATAGGTGAGACTATTGCAAAAGAAATATAAGATAAAGGTTTTAGTGAAGTCATTACACAATCTAAACCACCTGATGGAGAACAAGGAGAAACTAAACACAAGCTTAGGTCATAGACAAGAAACAAATTGAGAAGGTGTAGATTATGATAAGATTTAGATAATGGTTAGATGTAATGATTAGTAATATGAATAATAGATTAAAAAAAATTCGTAACTGAATAATAGATTAAAAAAGATATAAATTTTGATTCTTAGAATCAGCAAGGTCAGTAGGGCCAAGCCATTCAGTGTTATAAGCATTAAGTTAACAACAGTATTTTAAGTTAACAACAATATTTTAAGTTAACAACAATATTTTAGTTGAGGAATTCCATAAAAGAATAGTCATAGAATTCAAACTTTTCCATTTTTTTGCAACTTTAGATTGATTTTGATTTTGCAATGAGTGATATAAGTAAATAAGTTAAAAGATTAGGATTTTTTTTGTAATTCCAAACTAAATGCATATAATCTTAAATAAAACTTTTAATGCAGTCAGAATCAGTTATCTTAACTAATGTACACCTGATGACTATTTAAGTACAAAAATTGATTAAAATCGTCATAATAAATATTCTGAAATGTACAAAAATTAAATATTATAATATAATATTTAATTTTTACCTGAAGCATTCTGGGCCATTCTTGGACAGACATCTATGTATTGTGTTTACAAGTTATTTTTTATGCTGAAATAAATATTTATATTCTTTTTCTTCTAGTTGGACAGACATCTATGTATTGTGTTTACAAGTTATTTTTTATGCTGAAATAAATATTTATATTCTTTTTCTTCTAGTTATTTAAGTGATTTATATTATTAATTTATATTATATTTAAGTGATTTAAGTGCAAACTTTAAAGTTTGATCAAATTTTAAATAGTTTTAAAATTTGCTTTATATTGCTTACTTTACAAAAAATCTTAATAAAAAATCACTGATGACATGGTACTGAAATTGCCATCTGTTTGGTTTTCGTATGTACATTGACTGAGGGTTTAGATTTAGGCATCTACAATCTAGATATGATGAATCTATGATTATAAAATTTAAATGTACAAAAATTAAATATTATAATATAATATTTAATTTTTTTTATAATTCGCAAATATAAAATATTATAATATTCTAAATATTCTGGTAGTAAAGATGACTTTTACTTCATCATCATTTTTTTTTTTTTGTTAGAAATTGTATTTACTGTTTACTTCATCATTTACAAGGAAAGTTTAGGTTTTTTGTTTGAAAGTTTGGATTGTAATTTACTTGAATGGTTAGTGTTAATTGCCTAAATATTTAGGCAACTTTTTATTTAGGCAAATATTTATTACCTGAAGCATTCTGGGCCATTCTTGGACAGACATCTATGTATTGTGTTTACAAGTTATTTTTTATGCTGAAATAAATATTTATATTCTTTTTCTTCTAGTTGGACAGACATCTATGTATTGTGTTTACAAGTTATTTTTTATGCTGAAATAAATATTTATATTCTTTTTCTTCTAGTTATTTAAGTGATTTATATTATTAATTTATATTATATTTAAGTGATTTAAGTGCAAACTTTAAAGTTTGATCAAATTTTAAATAGTTTTAAAATTTGCTTTATATTGCTTACTTTACAAAAAATCTTAATAAAAAATCACTGATGACATGGTACTGAAATTGCCATCTGTTTGGTTTTCGTATGTACATTGACTGAGGGTTTAGATTTAGGCATCTACAATCTAGATATGATGAATCTATGATTATAAAATTTAAAAATTTAAATTTTATTTGTAGTTTAATTCTCAAGACCTTTTGATCAATGGCAAAATAGGAACATGGCAAAAAAATCAGATTTTTCAGGTTTCTTTTATTGTTTATTGTTTTTGCTTATTTTCTTGAAAAATTAAAAACAAAATTTAATTTATTTATTATTTAAAGAAAAAAGAAGTTGAAAAAGGATCCTTGGATTCTGCTATTGACATAGGAAAACAAATTGCTCAAGAAAAATTGGTTCAAAATGACATTGATGGGGCTGTAAAAATTCTTCTGAATATAGTATTATTTTGTTTTTTCTTATGTTTGTTGTTATGTTTTTATAGTATAGTTATATTTTTAGTAGTATTAGAAATATTTATTTTCATGTTTTTTATTGTTTAGGGATTAGAACCAAACAGAGAATTAAAAAGTATCTATTTTGAAACCAGCAAGAGCAGTTTAAGAGGACTCATGGTATTATTTTTTTATTTATTTTTATTATTGTTTTTTTTTGTTAAATGAGTACTAACAATTAAGTAGTTGCTTAAAGATTTCTAACTGTTGAATGATCTTTAACCACTTTAAGTTATATCAATTAAATTATTTTAAATTAGTATTTAGTATTTTTAAATTGTTTGTAGTATTATTTTTATATTGTTTGTAGTATTATTTTTAAATTGTTTGTAGTATTATTTTTAAATTGTTTGTAGTATTATTTTTAAATTGTTTGAAGTATTATTTTTAAATTGTTTGTAGTATTATAGCCATTTTAAATTATTTAGTTTTTCAATCTTGTTTTTAATTGTTTTGATAGATATTTATTATGCACAAAGAAAATTGTTTCTTTATTATATACATTATTTAGCTTTTAGAATTTTTGCCGCATACTTTGAAAACTTGCATTAAATTATCCACAGTTTTCATGACAACACATGCAAGTTTATTTTCATTATGATACTGTGTCATTTCATTTTCCATGATTTTACATTGTAAATGAATAAAATATTCTTGCTTTGGCATTTTTCATAAAGTTTTTCTATGAGTATTGATTTAAATAAGGTGATTGTTAAATCTCTGATTGTTACATCTAAAGATTATAGAACTTTATATTGAAGTAATTTGATTTACCATATTTTAAGCTTTTCTTTAAATAAATTGATTTAATAATAAAAGAATGGTTTGGGTTAACCTTTGTTAAAGTAGGAGTTAATTATAACAGGTAGTTGTAATGGTAGAGGTTAATTATAACAGGTAGTTGTAATGGTAGAGGTTAATTATAACAGGTAGTTGTAATGGTAGAGGTTAATTATAACAGGTAGTTGTAATGGTAGAGGTTACTTATAACAGGTAGTTGTAATGGTAGAGGCTAATTATAACAGGTAGTTGTAATGGTAGAGGTTAATTATAACAGGTAGTTGTAATGGTAGAGGTAATAGTAGTAAGGTTAATAAGTATTAGAGGTGGAGGAGTAGTTTTTTAGATTTCGACTTTTGTAATTTGAAATCTAAAAAAAAAGTTTGTAAGGCAATGATGGTATTATGGTAAAGTTTGTAAGGTGGTGATGGTATTATGGTAAAGTTTGTAAGGTGGTGATGGTATTATGGTAAAGTTTGTAAGGCGGTGATGGTATTATGGTAAAGTGGGTAAGTAGTTATGATTAAAAGTAGCAATTTAACATAATAGATTGGGTTGACAATGACAATATTGGTTACAGGTTTATGATTGTATCATTGAAGGGTTATTTTTATTCTTTTCATATTTTAATAATTTTGTTTGTTTTTTAAAATTACTTTTACTCTGTGGTGACTTTAATAGATTAAGCATTAGTGATGATGATGTTTTGAAATATTTATAACAACTCATAATGTAATTCAATGTAAAATTGTTTATCATGAAATTATAAGTTTGTTGGTTTAAAATGTTTTCACTTCTTGTTGAAATTCAGGTCATAAAATCAAAAAAATTAATAAAGTAATTTGAAATAAAATAAAGTAATTTAAAAAAAGTAATTTAAATAAAATAAAGTAGTTTAAAATAAAATAAAGTAATTTAAAATAAAGTAATTTTAAAAAAATAAAGTTATTTAAAAGGCATAATGAGTATCCATCATTTTATGATAAATAATTTCATAATTATAAAATTTGAATTAAAATAATTTTCATGTTTTTAGTCCCATTAAACAATAATCTGTAATTTTTATCAAACTTCAAAAATTATTACTTCTTTCAATCTCTATATGAAAAGTTTATCTGTAAAAACAGTCATACTAACATTGGTTTTTGTAAATTTTTGTTTGGTTATAACATTTAAAGTCCATAAAAAAGCAACTTAATTCCTTACTGTATATAATTATTAATATACCCAGTTGCATCAGAAAGTTTATTCGTACAGATATTTATGTATAGTTATGTATATTCTAAAAAATAAAAAGTAAAAATGAAGTTTCTAAAATTAAGTTTACAAAAAAAAAAAATTGTTGGTTCAATAAAAGTTTTCCAAAAATGACACTTTTAAATTGTTTAGAAAAAAATGTTGAGCGCACCCATAACAACTTTTAACTGCTTTAGCTTGATTTCTTTTCACTTTTTACGGCCATAAAAAAAAAATTATGTGCAAAAAAAAATTATATACAGAAAAGAATAGACTACGTGATTTTTGTTTTTTTATTCGACAGCTTTGTTATCTGAAAAAGTAACGCAGTAACTTTTACTCTGAGTACATTTTAATAAGCTACTTTTTACTTTTACTTGAGCTACTTTGTACTTTTACTTGAGTAAACTTTTTGAACAGTTCGAAAGAAGACTTGAGTCATGAAAACATGAAAGTTCTTTCGTAAAAGATAATCTAAAAAAAAAGAGGACTAAGTAAGAGTCTAACCATTTATCAATATATCAAGTGTATTGTGATGATAGCAACAATATGATCAAATAAAAATAAACAACTGAGTTTTGCGCAAATTAAAATTCATCATTGCCACAAAAGATTTGTGGCAATTATGAATTAATAAGTAATATTGTTAAAGGAAACTCATTCTGTTGTGTTTCCCATGTTTCCCCCAGGACCTAAAAGTCCAATACTACATGAATTTTTCTATCAATTCTTTTTGTTAGGTGATGCAAGAATAACTCATTTTAATGAAGGATGCATATGCGCAGCAGCACATGTGAGCTAGCATCTTTTCAAGATGCGCTCTAGCACAATCTTTCTGCCCTGTGTTAGCTGCTGTAATCTGAATTTTTCCAATTGTAACTTTAAAGTTATTCTTAATGATCAACATCTTTTTTTCAAGTAACTTAAGAGTTACAACCTTCTATCTTAGATTGTTTCTTATCTATATTAACAAGAGACATAAGATTTGAACCCACTACATTCCTGGAAGTACTGCGTTTAACTTGTTTCTCTTTGCTGTGGTCAAGGATTGAGTTATGGAGTTATATGGTTAAAAGAGGAGTATAACAATAATTAAGAAAAAAATGTCCTCGACTATAGTGGGTGCTTGTTGTGTGTGTGTGTGTGTGTGTGTGTGTGTGTGTGTGTGTGTGTGTGTGTGTGTGTGAACATGTTTTAAAAAAGCTGCTAAGTCTCTTTATTGTGTTTGTAATTTTCTTACTCCTGATTCTCTATATATATTTTATACCTGTTCTGATCTTGTAGGGTTATTTTATAATACCTTTTTTATTGGGAATCTTCAAAAAAGCATTGCAAACATAATTGCAATGCAAGTATTGTTATCAGGATCTTGTTTAACAGCCAACCTTATATCTTTATGTCTTTGTTGTTAAGGATAAGCTAATCTTTTGTTTCTTCTAACAAGTTCCATATTTTATGTTATACCATATTTTTTGGTGATTTTTTAAATTATTTTTTTATCTTTTTAAAATAAAAAAAATCTCATTTTGTTTTTTAGTTTCCAAGATTGCAAAAGAAAGGTCTTCTTGATGAGAGAGATACTGAAGATTTCAGGTTTTTAAAAGAACTAGAAAAATACTACATTTCAGGAAATCAGGTAAAACTCAGTAGAGTTTTTTTTTTGTGGTTAATATTTTATTGTTTTATAAGTTCAACCAAATACATTGTTTATTTGTCTATTTGTTAAATTGTTTGTCTGTCTATTTGTTAAATTGTTTGTCTGTTTTTTTTATTAAATTGTTTGTCTATTTATTAAATTGTTTGTATGTCTATTTGTTAAATTGTCTAATCAAATATCCCTGAAGTCTCTGTAATTCTCTTAAATAATACTTTAAAATCTTGATCTTACATTTAATAAATAACTTTAATTTAGATATTTGTCATTGTCATGTTTTTTTATAAAGAGAAAAGGTTACTCTTTAAGTTAAAACTAACAAAACATTTTCAAGTAAGATTTTTTGACAGATATTGAGACTTTTTTCGCAAAAGTATTATATTTAACAAATGTCAAAATAATTTAATTGAAGTTTTCTTTTATTGAAGAATATTTGTGTAAGAATAGTAAACATCATTTTTTTTTTAACTTGAAAAAAAAAAAAATAATTTTTAATATAATTTTTTTCTGTAACTTTTTTTCTATAGTTAGATAAATTTATTTACTAATAATATCAGAATTGGATTTTTTTATGCGCTTTTGTCTAGTAACTCTACATATAATAGCTTTTCTTTTTGTTCTTTGTTTTCTTCTTTTCAAAACTTTTTTAATGTTGTTTCATATTAAGTTGACTAAGATCTTTCTTATTACCCCTCAGCAAATATTGTTTGCTCATTAGTCTTGTTGTTGTTGGTGATTTAATGCTTATCACACTGAATGGTTCTTTTTCCGCCCCAGGAAAAAAAAGTTCTATAGAATTTTATATAAACTTTTGAAACATATGGTCTATGGAAACTCTATAAAATTCTATAGAGTTTTTATAAAGTTTCTATTAACTTTATAAAAATTCCTCTTGAAATTTTTTTTCTACTTTTTTTTTCTACTTTTTTTTAATAGAAAAAAAAGTTTAACAGCAATTTCTATAGAAATTTATTGACATTCTATAGAAATTCTATAGAGTTTCTATAGGCCATATGTTTCAAAAATTTATAGAAAAATTCTATAGAACTTTTTTTCCTGGGACTGAACCTGCTGGAAATAAATATTTTTGACTTTTTCAATATCTTGCTCAGATAAGTGACTTTAAGACTCATTTTTCAGACAAACCCTAATGAACAAAACCATTAATTGTTTAATTTCTTGTCTCAAACTTAGTCGTTCTCTTCATTCAGATTATGTAATGATCTCACTAAAATATTTATCTTGTACTACTTATTTGGCTTCATCCTTTTTTTAGATTAAGAAAATAGATTCTATCTGTTGACCAGCCTTGCAACCCTTCTTCATCTATTAGGCTGGCGTAGATCTATTTATAATATATTGTTTCCAGTTTAGGATGTTGAATGGATGATCTTCTTGACTCAATGCACAGGTTTTGCTTGTGTCTCTATTTTTATGACTAAGCAACACATTCTACTATCTCCTAATGAGGGTACAGCTCTAAAACTCAGTTTTATGGTTCTGAGGTTGGCTGGTAGTCAGGTTTCCCGAACTCTGTGGTTGCTCTCAGAGAGGCTGATTCCATCAACCGCTGAAAAATATCAAAGTACTAACAGTGCCATATTGCGCATGGATGGTGTCCCTGTTTGTACTTTTGGTGTGCATTGCCAAAGCCACATTTGGAGCCCTTTGTTATGGCTTAGGGTTTAATAATAGTAATAAGGCAATTGTTTGTACTATTAAACAGTGGTCTGAGTACTATCTATGTTTCGAGTCAAGTTCTTTAACAAATTTAAAAATGAATAAAGTAACAAAAACTATAAAATAAAAAAAACTATTGTCATCACCAAGTTCGCTAAACCTATCATTCACTAATATTCGTGGTCTTCGAAGTAACTTTTCTCCTGTTGAGTTTAATCTCTTGCAAAGTTCACCACACCTTGCTCTTTGTGAGACTAATTTGAGCTCGGCTGTCTCATTTTGTGATCTTAGTGTTGATAGTTATTTTCCTTTAATTCTTAAAGATTCCAATAATCAAATGCTTAGCCTGGGCATTTACATTTGTAAGAATTCACCCATTTGTTGATAAACTAGGTTTGAATCCACAGAGTATTCGGTTACATACTTTCGTTTAGCACCACTTCCTTTTATTGCCTTTCTCTTTGTTCTATATCGCTCTCCTTCATATCAAGCCTGCACTCTTTTCGATGTTATTTCTGATCAAATTAACCAAACTCTTTCTCTTTATTTGTTGTTAATGACTTTATTACTTATCATACTGAATGGCTTGGCTTTAGTGTCTTGACTCTGCAGGCATTAAAGTCCACAACTTTCTTAATCTCTAATTGTAACCATTACTTTCAAATCTATTAGCAAAACAGTTCTCTAGAAAACAGACATCTGTTTACTACTGCTAGAATGCTAGAAACCATTGTAAAAAGGTTTTGTCTAATGCTAAAGCCAGCTGTTCTCAGGTAACAAAATCTTGTATTTCATCTCAAAATTTAGGCTCTTGTGACATCTGGAGAATCTTTTACAGTATCTATAACAAGGGCAAATGTGTTATTCCACCTCTCTTGTATGTATGAGCTCTTCTATGGTTTTTAAAGGGACTACCAAGTCCCGAGACATGTTGTGTTCATATTAAAGAGAAAGTTTGATTAAAACTAATTTTTAATATGAACATGTTGTGTTCATATTAAAAATTAGTTTTAATCAAATTTTTTTTGATTAAAACTAATTAATAAATCTATACCAAGGAAAACAAATCTTGTTGTTTTAGTCGAAGCTCGTCTTCTCCGTTTTCTCTGGTATTTTGTGTATGTAAAATAAACGCGATTTTCCAGGCGCATTATGCAGACTTGATAATTTATTCAAGCGCGTTTAATTCATAGGAGTTTTAGTGTATGACGTCATAGATTTTTTGTTTGTTTAAAACACTGATTGTTTTTTTTTACATACAATTTCCAAATCATATTCATTTTTATTGTATTTTAAAGTTCTAAAATGTGTTTGTAAAACAAAATAAAATTAAAAACAAAATAAAATTAAAAACAAAAATAAAATAAAAAACAAAATAGTATTTTATTTGCGCAACCTTTTTTAAATAATCGTCTAGACTACGTGTATTTTGATTTCTTTTCTTATAAGTTTTTCATGTTTACCAAGTTATATTTATTATTACATTGAATAAAAAACAGCTGTGTGTAATTTATGTTAAATGTAAATTTTATAAATAGTTACAAAAATATTTATTTTATTAATTGTTCGTTAGTTTTTTGCAAATCTAACAAACAATTAATAATTAAACCAAGCACTAAGAAAAGATATAAAAGTTGAACTTTAACTCAGATAAAACTCAATTTTTTTCAGTTAATCGTTATTGCAATAATCTAGATCTTCTTACATTTTTGAACGATATTGGGCTTGATGTGTCATCTACCTTCCATCTTCAGGACTAACTCTTACTTCTGATCTTTCTTGATAACCATATATCAAACCGATTGCAAAAATTAGCATCTGCTAAGGTTGCATCTCTTTATGGTGCTCACAACTTTCTTACTCTGGATGCTGTTTTTATCTCAAATCCATCCTTGTATAGAATATTGTTGCCATATTTGAGGTGGATCTTTCAATAATGCCCTTTCTTAATTGGACAAGGTGCAAAAATATGTTGTAAACATAGTTGGACCTGCTCTTGCAATCCTCTTCATCTTGAGAGATGGAGTGTTAGACTAGCCTATTAACATAGGCTAGTCTAACACTCAATCTCTCATACTTGAATCTGATCTTATTGCATCTTCAACATAAGAAAGATTTGTAAAAAGTCTTTCCTCTAATTCATACCATTTTCTGTCATACCAGAGGAATCAGCAGCCTTGGCACAGTGGTTGAGCACTTTTTTTAGAAGCAAGAGATGCATGGTTCGAAGCGATTTCTGGGTATATTCTGCGCCATTAGTAAGGAAAGAGGCGTGAACTTCCTAGTTAAATACTTTTTGGCAGTGCTCTGTGACAAGACTATTAGGTCTTTTTAGGTTACCTAAAGCAAAATTAAAAAAAAAAAAAGAAATAGTTTGTTAATTGTTAGATATCTTAATCAGTTATGGTGCTAAAGTTCTTTCTCACGATGGCTTTTCTGCAGCTTGTGGTTCCAACATATATCAACACAGATTTTAATCCTCTTATTCTACTGAAAATTAAAAATTAGTTTATTGTTTTTTTTATTGTTTGATGGAAGTAGAATAACAAGGGCTCCTGATATATCAAAGGCTTTTAATAAAGTTTAGTATGCTGGTCTTCTTCATAAGCTCTTTTGATATGTTGCATCTGGGAAAATTTTCAAAATTATTAAACTATTCTTTTCTAGTATTAAATTTTATTATTCTTTTAACAGTATTAAATTTATCCTTGATATTTTTGGGCAACACTCTTTTTTTATTTAGAGGTTTCTCAAGATTATATCCTTGGTCCTGTGTTGTTTTATTATCTATATAATTGTGATCCTCCTGACAATGTTTTCTTTAAATGGGCTCAAGTTACTGATAATACAACTATATACTCAAGTTTTGACAAATTATTTGATGAAAAACAAGATCTTGAATGTGATCTCTCTTCTGTGACAGCTTGAGAATTAAAACTTCTGTGAGACCAATTATTTTAACTCAAAAAAATTTTTTGTTGTTTACTAGACAAAGTCTAAAAAAATTTTAAATATAGTTGGGTTTACTCCAGGTGCCAAACTTCAGCTTCCATTGTTCACTCCTGTCCCATTGTTGTAATATTAGATCTTTTTCTTTTTTCCACAAATACTACCATGGTTACTACTCAAGCTATTATCTTTTGTTCCATAAAACTTTTACTCATCTTTTTATTCATGGAACTTCAATAACTTGAAAAATGCGAGATACAACCTATTGCCATGTAAAATGAAATATCATTGATAATTCTCTCTTTTCTTCCAAAATCAAAGGAATTAATCCAAATTCTGCAATTTTCATGAGT